TTAGCCCAATGCTGTGATCCCCTCAGAAACATAAGAAAAACTAAATTTCGAATTTCCACTTGAAGCTTTGCACAGAGACAGAAGTTAATGAGTGTGGTTTTTTGTGAAAGTTTCATTTGTTTTCGTTGTTTCTATCCTAAGATACGACTATGGTAATAACATGTTTTTGGCATCTTTCATATACCGGCAGATCCCAATGTTCTTATTTCAGAATAGGAGCATTCGAAAAAGTTGACACTTTCACAATAAACGATTGTCATTTAGAACTGTCTGAGCAAAGTTTCAAGTCGAAATTCGATATTCAATTCAGTGTTTCTCGTGTTTCTGAGGGAACCACGGCATTGGGCTAAAAAGAATACCATAAGAATGCAGCATCTTGAAAGCAACAAGCTATCAGCCGAAGCTCTTTTCACAGTATTCATAGCTCGCTATGGCATGCATCATTCATAGAGTTCCGACTTAAAAGCGATGAATCACTTGGGAACCTTCCTTCGTAAGTGTACTTTCTTAGTTTTTGTATTAGCTAAACGCTATATTCATTATATTGTCGTTCTTAACAGTGAAGCACCGTTGAAAAAAAAGTATAAGTCAATGACGAGAAACCCAGTAGAACATGGATGTCAGTGTCTTAATATAATATGAACTAATATCCATTTCAAATTAAAAGAAGGGTGAGTATTTTTGAAATAATTATTGATAGGAACTAGATAGAGATCTACGGTTTTCGCCATTTAAAAAAGGAAATGAAACTACATCAAATCTTCAATACCAGATTTTTTTTGACAAGCTTTCCCAGACCCTCCTACCAAGTTTCTAAAGCAGACAATAAAGTGTAATGTAAAAGTTTTGGAATTTTGATTTTCAGTAGTGCATCAGAATCGTTAACAAAAGTTCAATAATCTGTACAATTTCGATGTTAAAATATTTAGCAAATCGCGAGTTATTAACATTTTACTACACATTTTCCGCAGCTTTTTCTCGGAAAATTGACTTTTTTCCTGATTTTTTGACGAAAATTCCACTTTCTCAACCTATTAAAATGCCTCCATTTTTTAAAACACTTAGCAGGGGGCCCTGAGATAACTTTTCAGAAAAATCCGGTATTAAAGATTCGATGTAGTTTCATTTCCTCTTTTATTCGATGAAAACCACAGATATCTATCTAGTCCCTATCAAAAATTATTCCAAAAATACTCACCCTTCTTTTAATTTGAAATGGATATTAGTTCCAAAAAATTTCTCTTTCTGATTAATTTCTGATTTTGCATAAAAAATTTCTGATCGTTTCTGATTTTGAAAAAAAAATTTCTGATTTTAAAATTTTTGATCTGGCCACCCTGGATATATATTCAATATTATTTATTCTAATAGAATAATTGTCAACTAGTTCTTCAATTAGAAATAAAATCTTTTATATATTCTATGATGATTGTTGATTATTACGATAAAGACTAATATTCAATGGTATAACAGTTAATTTAAAATTCGTTTCGATATGAATAATAAATTTTGTGTAGATCTATTCGAAGGTGATATCATCTTTAATATAAGAACAAACAATGTGCCCATTAACCTATCACCGACGAATGATAACTTCGATCGTTGGAATACGGTCAATGGCTCCATTAATTTTAACTGTAATCTGCCATATTGCTTTACAATCGATTTTTTCGAGGCTGATAATTCAATAGGTTTCTGATCAAGTTTAAATGTTTAAATAAATAAGTTAAATAATAATTTAACATGAGAATAGGGATTGATTTATTAGAAATTGATTATTGTCCTATTAATAGATGAGGAGAGAACGAAATAAGTCTTTCGTTTTATTAACGATTGTCGGTGGTAATATTGATTTTATTTCGAATATTTATCTTGAGTTGTTTAATTTCAATCGATCGAGTCATTAATAAAGAGTTAAATTTAACAGCTAATTGTCATCGTTATTCATTGATAGACACATTTTTATATTGTTTTATGGTGTGTAGATCAATTTTGAAAAACATCGAGAAAAAACCTCTAAATAATAATGATACTAATATCTAGAATATCATTTTTTCTATAGACTTCTTTATAAATTGTTGACTCTGTTCATCATCTAACATTTTTTTTTTTATTGATAATCATTCTAGAATATCCAATAAATAGTCTTAACAGTTGTCAATTTCTATGCAATTATTCAACCATTAACTCTTTGCGCTATAAAAAAAACGGAAATAACCCCTCGCCCCTTACAATAAAAGACCCAGGGTCTTCTATTATGTTTAAGCGGAAATTTTTTTTTTTGGGGGGGGGTCTTGTATTATGATTGTCGTATTTTTGCGATTTTTTGCGAAACTGACGAGTATTTTTGACTAATTCAGTAAATGGAAGTTTAAGTTCAGGCTCTACAACGTTTCAACTTCTATGATAGTAAGCAGATACTGTGAAAAACATCAACTATATCTTTCGAGAGCAACAAACAATAGGGAGTAATGAATATGAGCGGGTATATTATTTGAAAATTGTCTAATGTTCTAGTAAAAGGACGTATTAGGAAAGAAATGTTTGAAATGTACGAATAGAAACTGATATAAATTAATCACTATGATCAATGTTTGTTTAGAAATAAAACATTCTGCGTTGACTTTATTAATATTATAAATATATTTAAGAAATCTGATAAGTGGAACGAAGGAAGAGGTAGGAATTCGATATGAAATTGTTTCGTTGGAATAAAGTTTTACAGCATTTGCTTTAATTCAAACGATAGAATTTGTTGTAATCTATCCGTTTATTTGATATTTTTTGAAAATAAACTTTTCCATACATTTTTCAGAATATAATAGAAAGGAGTTGGCGCTTATACCCCGTCCGCTTATTTTTTGTTCATTGTACGATTTTTTTGTTGGGGCTAGTGTGCTTATATGAAAGCACTATATCATACGATCAACTTCATTTGTCTCAGTAAGGAACAAAATAAGGGTCACCTCTATGGAGAGTAGGAGCAAATGACTAGGATTTCGAAGTTTCAATTATTGAAACTGGATGTATGTGCAAGATAAGCCATATATTCAGAATCTCCATTAAAAAATACACTAAAAACTCCATTTTCAATTGTAAAATATCTATCATCCAAGATTTAACGATACTGTTCCAGGTTTTTATTCTTTAAACTTTTCTCTGGAGCCTCCTAAGAGAAAAACTTGGATGATAGATATTTTACAATTGCAAATGGAGTTTTTAGTGTACTTTTTAATGCAAATTCTGAATATGGGGCTTATCTTGTACATACATCCAGTTTCGATAATTGAAACTTCGAAATACTGGTCATTTGCCCCTATTCTCCATAGAGGTGACCCTTATTTTGTTTCTTATTGAGACTAAGAAAGTTCATCGTATGATATAGTGCTTTCATATCAACACACCAGCCCCAACAAAAAAAATCGTAAAACGAACAAAAAATAAGCGGAGGGGTATAACCTATGGGAAAGGCACCAACTTCTTTGTTTAAACACAAAAAGATAAATCATCACGGTCAGGTTTTGATGAATGTAATTTAGGTGATGATGATGAATTTTTTTATTATGATTTTTTAACATCATCAGCATCAAATAATAATAAATGTGGAAACCTCGGATCTACATCCGAGAGTTATGTGTACTTCAAAACGTGAATTAGACAGATGAGTCATCCTAGAATGTGTGTACATCAAAATTATCCTCGCAAACCTTTCTATAAACACATGAATTCTATTGGCTACTGCTCAACCAATAGGATTTAGGGCCGAATACAACTCAGATTTGAACTCTTCGCATTGAATTACCCTAAGAAAGTCGGTTTTCCTATAACTTGATTTCTATTGGTCCCTGCTCAACCAATGGTATTTCGAGGCAAGTGGAGTACAGATTCGAGTTCTCCGCCCCAGAAAACCTCGAAGTACCATCTCTATGATCGAAAGATAGAGCTCGAATTGGGGATCAATCAGAGCGTGGACAAAAACAGAACCAATTTCCGTTTAATTATCGTTTGGATTAGGCGAGTTAGCCTTCTTGTTTCTTTATGTTTTATATACCATTTTGCAGCTCGTGAAATTCTCTATCGGATAGTATATAATAGTTGGAGCTTTATTTGACTATGATAGGAAAAGTTGTTCACGAAAGCGGGAAGGGGTCGATTTTCGCATAGGAAGGCATAGGGGAAAATTACTATTTTTGCAATAACTCAGGAACGGCTCGGCCAATCATTCTCATCTTCGAACTCGACCGAGATATTGTTGAGACTAAACTGTGTAGAAAATTTCATCGCGATCTCACTCTCCTTTCGAAAGTTATCGTGTAAACGGCCGGCCGGACGGACATACTGACCGATTCTAGAGTGTACTCACTTTTTCAGTACACAAAAATACATATAGTAATGCAATATCATGTACAATTGATGATGAACATTTATCAAGTCCACAAGATGAACAAGATGATGATACAACAAATGAACCAGATGAATGGGAAGAAACAGAAGTTCCGAAATGTCTTGGTGATATATTTCAATCCGTTACTGGTGCAATATTTCTTGATTCAAATAAATCATTTAATACAATATGGAAAATTTATTATCGTATGTTAAAACCATTTATTGAAAAATTTACAACTAAAGTACCAAAATCACCAATACCTGAATTACTTGAACGTGAACCCGAAACTGTCAAATTTGAAAAACCTGAACGTTTACTTGATGGTCGAATACGTGTTACTGTTGAAATAATTGGTAAAGGACGTTTTAAATTTAAAGGTGTTGGAAGAAATTATCGAATAACAAAAAATGCAGCAGCAAAATGTGCTTTAAAAAATTTGCGCCGTCTTGATTTAATGAAAGATTTATTCTTTTTCAATGAAAAACAAAAACATATTTCTCAGATATTTATTTTATTGTAATGTACTTAGGTCTGACCAAAAGTTCTGAGATCTTTAAATAAAAATACAAAGATAAGGAGATATTTTTAATTTTATTTTATGAAATGTTGAGGATAGTTGCCATGATTATTTGTAACAAGTTCAATTCTTTCTAACAATTTATTAAAAGTTTTTTTGAAGTCTTTTTCGAAAAAAAATTTAGCTGCCTTGGATACCGCATGAGCTACTCATGTTTCATTTGTTTTAAAATTTTAGCGAAGTTTTGTTAGATGTTGTCACTTGCATTCTAGTA